ATTATCCTCCAGTTTAATAAAATAAGGAAGTAGTTTAAATAATAATAAAAATATTTTTTAAATTCAACATTAAAGATTTATTTTTTAATATATTACTCTGAAATTTACAGCCTACGAAATTTTAAAATCAAATTTAGCATGAAAATTTGTAAATAGTTATAATAGGGTGGTGGCGCAAAATTCAGTTAACCGAGCTAACTTCCGCTAATTTATTTCGGTTAACTAAATTTTGGGCCACCCTGTATATTTTGTTGAATTATCTTAAAATCTTTAAAATAAATATGAAAACGTTTTATTAAATCAATTTATTTTACTTTTATCATAAATAATAATATTTAACATTGAGTAGACAATAACATTTTTAAAAAAATTCCAAAAATAAATAATTATAATACGGATAAGGTGTATTGAATTTTAAAAAGTAGTAAGTAATTTTATTTATAAATTTTATCTTAAAAGATTACGGTTTTTATTTATTTGTTTATTTATTCTTTAATTTATTAATCATTAATTCATGTAAAATTGTTTATTATCTTGTTTCAAGTTTATTTTTCTCTATACTTTATACATAGAGGCATAAAGGAATTGGAATCAAAATAGCAAACAGTATAAATGTTTAAGAATAATTCTGGTTATTTAATTAAGATATTTACAAATAATTTTAAAATAAATTACAGAAAATTTTAATTAAATAAAATATAGAGTGTTTAATTGTATATTTATTCTATAATTTATAAAGTTAGAAGATGCAACTTATTTACATTTCCTGTTAGAAACACAGGAATTTGCAGACGTATTCTATAAATTACAGAGCAAATGAATGTTTAAAGCTAAGAAAGTTTTATTTGTAGAATTAGAAATAATATTAAATTTAAAAAATTAGTGTAAAACTTTAAATCATCAGTAAAAAGTGGAATTAATATGGGTAAGAATTTTTAAAATTGAATATTGAATAATAGGAATTTTCAATATTGATGCTAATTATAACTTTTATATTATTAAAAAATACATTTAATTAACATTAAAAATTTGATTTAGCATTTAATTAAATTACAATTAATTAAACTTTTAATTATATTTAGGATAAATTGATTAAAATGGTTTATAACTAAAATTATAAAAATAAATATATTTCTTTTTTGTCTTAATGAATAGTTTTTAAGAAGATTAAGTAATTTTTTTATGGACTTTTCTGTATATATAAACCATTTTAAATTAAATTAATCTAAAAAGTTTTATTTCTTCAAACTTTTTTTTAATTATATTTTAAATTTAATGAAACCACTTTTAAAATTTAAAAATTACTTTTTATTCCTGATTTAATTCAAAGCTTCTTTATTTTTAGTTTTATTTTAAGTTATTTAAACTTTAAAAAAGTTTGAATTGCCACTTAAATCTGGGATTTTCAATCTCTTTAATTATTTTTCTTTGAATTGATATTGGATTTTCCAGCTTAAATTGACAAAAGTTTCAAGTATTCATTCGAACATTCAAATTTATAACTTTAGAAAAATAAAATAGAGTAAGTATATTCTCTTAGCTGGATAAAAACAAATTGAGAAATTATATTTATGTTCAATTTGCTGTTGGCAAGGTAATTTATTGTTCAACATTTATTTCATAAAATTTTCAAAGGACAAATTTATGTACATTTATACAAAAAATTTAAGAGGAAATCCATCAAAATCAGTCAAATTTCTTTCCCAGGAACTTCTCTTGGATAAATCCTGTTTTAAATTTTATTATTATTTAACATTTACGTTTAATGTATTAAATTATATCGAATATTTATTTTGAATTAATGTAGTTAATGCCTCTTAAAGATCGAGAAAGTCCTGGACTACTTAAGTCCTTGAAGTCACAGAGTTAAAAATTGTACAGTAATAAAACCTATCTAAAACGGAAATAATAATTCAGTATATGCANAGGTAAATACTTTTGTAACAGCTTTCCACGAAGCTGTAATTTTATATTCTTTGGCCTTAAACGAAACTTTAATGGAAGGATTTAGTATCAATAATGGCTCTATCATAACACAGAAAATGTGGAACAGAACTTTCGTAGGTAAGTCTTTATTTTTTATTGGAAGATATAATCAGTTTATCTTAAGTCTCTTACAACACTTTGATGAACTTATCTAATTTCCCATGTTTACATTAAAACTTTAAAAATATCTAATGATTATAACAAGGAAAGAAACAAGACTATTCAGTTAGAGGTAAGAAAAATGTTAATTTCTGTAGAAAATGAATACGTAATTTGAAAAAAAACTTTGTTTTAATAATCCGCTATTCTAAACAAGATGTGTTTATAGATTTAAAGTGAATTTAATTATATTCTTGGTAGATTATATCGATTAATAAACGCGAATTTAAAAGTATAATTATAAAATTAAATAGGCATTCTATTCAGACTTTAAAGGAAAAGTAAACATTTATTAAATTATATTTTACATCTTTGAATTTTTACTGGTTTATTTAAAATATCGAATTTTAGTATTAATTTCGTGTATTAAATAAAACGAAAAGATGGCAGCGTTGTTGCTGGACTTTCTCGGCATTCTTTATTTGTTTTCATCTCTAATAGATGCTACTATTATTTTTAAGTCTTCAAATTGATTCGGGAGATATTAAGAGAGTGAGGCCATAGCTACCGGAAAAATGGTCCGATTTTCCTGAAAATGTATAGAAACATTGTTGTATAAATATCTCTACAAAATTTCAGAAATTTTTGACAAAAGGCACAAGAGTTATTAAGCTTCAAATCGGGTGAACAGAATCGTGTCCACCACACATGCACTAACATTCATATAAGATGGGACCTGCTAATGTGACCACTGAACGGACCAGCTCAAAGTGGTCATCTTATGCAAGTGATCACATTAGCAGGTCATACTGTATACATCTTCTGACTTCAACTTTTTTTTTTTTTTGTATTTCTCGACATTTCAAGGTCCTCTTAGTCCAAAAATGCAAAAAAATTGGGGGGGGGTCATCTTATTGACCGATCGCCATACTTTCTCTATGTTATACAACAGCCTAGAAAGTAAAAATATCTTAGTTTGTTCGATGACTTTTAAATAATACAAATTATCCATGTCACATATAACTAGATTTTTATACTGAAAAATTATTTGTTTTTATCTGAAAATATATAATAGTTATATAATGTTAAACAAAGTGAAATAAATTATTTTAAAATTTTGAACGAGGAAACTGAAATTACAAAAACTAGGATTGGAAAATATTGTGGTAAAGAAAATAGAGGAAACAAGTCGGGCGAATGGAGGAAAATCGAATATCAAACAAAGTATTATAAGATCGTATTGGAAAAAAGATCAAAGGGAAAACCTGAATAACATTGGATAGATAAGATCAAAGAAAACATAAAACAAAACTTGACAAAAGACCTTAAACTAGACAAACAGCAATGCAGAAGAATGAATTCGTTTAGCATTAATGCCGTTAAATGGATAATGAAAAGAAAAGAAATAAAATAAAACGGATTAATTAATTTACTTAAAATAAATTTTGGAAAGAGTTTTAATTTATAGTCTTCAATACATGTCACAATCTCCATATTCACGTTATTTACTTACTCGGCTGTTATATATAACAGAGGGAAAGTATGGAGATATATCAAAAAAGGACCCCTCCAAAATTGTTATATTTTTGGACTCAAGAGACCTAGAAATACAAAAATTTCCGGAGATTTTTCTGTATATATGGATGTTAATGTGTGGGGAGACACGATTTTGTTCATCCTCTTTGAAGCTTAATAACTCCTGTGATTTTTGTCGAAAATTCCTAAAATTTTGCAGGGAGATTTGTGTATTAGAGAGATGGATTATTCTAAATTTTGGTGGTTAAAGGTCAAAGGGTGAGGGATATAAAGGTGAGTCGTGTGTTATCTGGAGTAAGGTCTGACGTAATAACGATTTTACTCGTTATTAACATTTACAATAATTTTTTTATTTTATAAAACCCATGCCTACCCTCAAAATTCAGCTTTTTGTTATTTTATAACAGTTAAAATTATAAAATTTTTAAGATAAAATATCATAACAGATGGCGCTACCAAATGTTACCGAGAAAGTTAAGCAACTCTTTTTCTGGATTTTTTTCAAATATATTTTTCTATTGAGCATCTGACTACATCTTTGTAGTCCAAAGACGTTTTTTTACTATTATATTCCAATTTACTTGGGTTTTGTTCTTTTTCTCCTATTTACCTCTCTGCAATTTTTATTATGGTTCTGCGATAAAATTATAATTTTTTTAATCATTTAGTTATAAATTTTTAAGCACACAATTATAAATAAATCAGGGCAGACATTCAAAATATTTTTATGTCATTATTATAAAAAATTTAGATCTCATAGTTGAAAGTCATTACACTCTTCAATTTCTATATTTTTAATTATATTCTATATATTTAATTCGTTCATTTGATTATTAATTATATACATTTTTGCGAGTTTTATTATCTAATTCTCATTATGGAAATGCCTTTATTGTCTATGTGAAATCACCTTAAATTTTGTAAATAAATAAACGAAAAAAGTTTTTGTCACATCGTCACACAATACCAGGCTGCAATTTTTAATCATATCGATAATTTATTTAAATTTAAAATATATGCTTTCCACCTCAAATTAGTAGTGGATTGCCCCTGTACTTCATACTTTTCCTTTAACAACGAAGTCGTGCTGGTCATCTATATAATTCCATTCAGGGGAATATTTTTCAATTGAATTCGCATGTATTTCGCTCCAAGCCAAAAGTTCATATACAGTTAATCGGGTTCTTTTTCCCATTAGTTTTCCGTATCTGCTCTTGACTTTTATCTAACTACTTCCACTCTCGAGATTAAGGAAAGATAGTCAGACAGCCACGGCGGGAGTTTATAGGTCTACAATTTTGTTCAAATTACAGCCCAATAATATTGAGTGGATCAACTTCAACATGTCTATCACTGACGTTTCTGTTTCGAATTTTTCTTCCTTAAAGGTTAACTTATTCTCTGACAACAAGGTTTGTGTTCTTTTTTTATCTGTTAAGTTTATTTTGTTAATTATTTTGTTTTAATACTATGATTAAGTATTGAAATAAAATAAAATTTAAAATACCTAGTACAGTCGACCCCCTATAACACTGTTGATAATTCCGTTTTATATGAATTCCATGTTATAGGAGTCACTTAGATTTTACAAATACGTGTGCCGGGCTGTGAACGGCTCACGTATTTATTCTTTATTTGTTTTCATCTCTAATAGATGCTACTATTATTTTTAAGTCTTCAAATTGATTCGGGAGATATTAAGAGAGTGAGGCCATAGCTACCGGAAAAATGGTCCGATTTTCCTGAAAATGTATAGAAACATTGTTGTATAAATATCTCTACAAAATTTCAGAAATTTTTGACAAAAGGCACAAGAGTTATTAAGCTTCAAATCGGGTGAACAGAATCGTGTCCACCACACATGCACTAACATTCATATAAGATGGGACCTGCTAATGTGACCACTGAACGGACCAGCTCAAAGTGGTCATCTTATGCAAGTGATCACATTAGCAGGTCATACTGTATACAGAAAATACCCCGAACTTTTTTTTTTTTTGTATTTCTCGACATTTCAAGGTCCTCTTAGTCCAAAAATGCAAAAAAATTGGGGGGGGGTCATCTTATTGACCGATCGCCATACTTTCTCTATGTTATACAACAGCCTAGAAAGTAAAAATATCTTAGTTTGTTCGATGACTTTTAAATAATACAAATTATCCATGTCACATATAACTAGATTTTTATACTGAAAAATTATTTGTTTTTATCTGAAATTATATAATAGTTATATAATGTTAAACAAAGTGAAATAAATTATTTTAAAATTTTGAACGAGGAAACTGAAATTACAAAAACTAGGATTGGAAAATATTGTGGTAAAGAAAATAGAGGAAACAAGTCGGGCGAATGGAGGAAAATCGAATATCAAACAAAGTATTATAAGATCGTATTGGAAAAAAGATCAAAGGGAAAACCTGAATAACATTGGATAGATAAGATCAAAGAAAACATAAAACAAAACTTGACAAAAGACCTTAAACTAGACAAACAGCAATGCAGAAGAATGAATTCGTTTAGCATTAATGCCGTTAAATGGATAATGAAAAGAAAAGAAATAAAATAAAACGGATTAATTAATTTACTTAAAATAAATTTTGGAAAGAGTTTTAATTTATAGTCTTCAATACATGTCACAATCTCCATATTCACGTTATTTACTTACTCGGCTGTTATATATAACAGAGGGAAAGTATGGAGATATATCAAAAAAGGACCCCTCCAAAATTGTTATATTTTTGGACTCAAGAGACCTAGAAATACAAAAATTTCCGGAGATTTTTCTGTATATATGGATGTTAATGTGTGGGGAGACACGATTTTGTTCATCCTCTTTGAAGCTTAATAACTCCTGTGATTTTTGTCGAAAATTTCTAAAATTTTGCAGGGAGATTTGTGTATTAGAGAGATGGATTATTCTAAATTTTGGTGGTTAAAGGTCAAAGGGTGAGGGATATAAAGGTGAGTCGTGTGTTATCTGGAGTAAGGTCTGACGTAATAACGATTTTACTCGTTATTAACATTTACAATAATTTTTTTATTTTATAAAACCCATGCCTACCCTCAAAATTCAGCTTTTTGTTATTTTATAACAGTTAAAATTATAAAATTTTTAAGATAAAATATCATAACAGATGGCGCTACCAAATGTTACCGAGAAAGTTAAGCAACTCTTTTTCTGGATTTTTTTCAAATATATTTTTCTATTGAGCATCTGACTACATCTTTGTAGTCCAAAGACGTTTTTTTACTATTATATTCCAATTTACTTGGGTTTTGTTCTTTTTCTCCTATTTACCTCTCTGCAATTTTTATTATGGTTCTGCGATAAAATTATAATTTTTTTAATCATTTAGTCAAGACTGTGTTATTATTAAAACGCTTGGCGTTTATCCACTTTATTCAGTTGATACGGGCACTTTTACACGTTTCGGGCATATAGC